CCGTCAACCGAAAACCCTAAACCGTAAACCCTAAACCCTAAACTCAAAACCCTAAACCCTAAACCCGAAACCCTAAACCCGAAACCCTAAACCCTAAAACCTAAACCCCAAACCCTAAAGCCTAAACCCTAAACCCCCTAAACCTTACAACCTAAACCCTAAACCCTAAACCCTAAACCGTAAACCCTAAGCCCTAAACCCTAAACCGTAAACCCTAAACCGTAAACCCTAAACCCTCAACCCTAAACCCTAAACCCGAAACCCTAAACCCTAAAACCTAAACCCCAAACCCTACAGCCTAAACCCTTAACCCCCTAAACCTTACCCTAAACCCTAAACCCTAAGCCCTAAACCCTAAACCGTAAACCCTAAGCCCTAAACCGTAAACCCTAAACCGTAAACCCTAAACCCTAAACCCTAAACCCTAAACCCCAAACCCGAAACCCTAAACCCGAAACCCTACACCCTAAAACCTAATCCCCAAACCCTAAACCCTAAACCATAAGTAGTGCGCCTGAAATGCACCATGTGTGCGTCTGAAATGCCCCCTGTGTGGTTCTGAATTGTCTCCCGTCTGGTTCCTGAGCACCGGACCTGAAATTGGTACCTGAAACGACCCTAGGTGCGTCAGAACCGTACAACACTCTCTAGGGTTCTAGGGGTCATGGGGTTATGGGGTTATGGGGTAGGATTCTAGGGTTACAGGGCTATAGGGTTCTTTGCAGGGTTATAGGGTCATAAGGAGCATCATACACTTCGGGCTGCACTAGACCTACTGAGGCTCAGTCTGAAGCGGTAAAAACCTGGCAGCCTAAGGCATGTGCTTAAAGCTTAAGCTATAGCACCGCCAAACCTTACACCTTAAAACTCTCAACCCTAAACTCCCAAGCCCCGCCCAAACCCTGACCCCCCCTCCAAATAATGTCTACCCCTACCTCTCCTCACTTACTCATCCTAAACCTTAAAACCCTACCCCCTCTAACCCTAAACCCTAAACCCTAAACCCTAAACCCTAAACCCTAAACCCTAAACCCTAACCACAAAAAAACATAGAAGCGCCGTCGCGGGGCCGTCATCACCGCAGCTGGGGACATGGAGATGCGCTCATACTGGACCGGAACATCCTCGAGGCTGAAGGGTTTAGGGGTTTAGGGGTTAGGGTTTAGGGATTGAACTAGCCCCTACACAAAACCAAGGCTCAATAAAGGGCGATGTGGGGCGTGTTTCAGGTCGGGGGCAGTTTTACCCCTAAACCCTAAACCCTAAATCCTAAACCCTAAACCTTTCACACCAAACTCTAAACCCTAAGTCAGGGGATTCATGGGGGTGTCCGGGCCTTCCCTATAAGGGACTAAAGAAGGGACCCTTGTAAGGGACCTTCTAGTAGTAATGTAGGGGCTAATTCCTTAGGTTACCTTCAAGGGACTAAGGGAGCGACCCTTGTAAGGGACCTTATTGTAGTGGCAATGTAGGGGCTACTTAGGTATAGGGACTGCTACACCCTAAACCCTCCTAAAAGCTACGTGGAGGGGGTATATAGGGGAATAAGATTAAGGGTACCTTCTCGGGGCCCCTCCTTATATCCCTTCATTACAGCCAGGAGCTGGGCTTCCGATCCCTCTCTTTGCTACTCTACTCGTTTAGCGTTTTCGGGTTAAGTGGGGTTAAGGGTTTAGGGTTTAGGGATAGGGGTTTAGGGTTTAGGGTTTAGGGTTTAGGGTTTAGGGTTTAGGGTTTAGGGTTTAGGGTTTAGGGTTTAGTGTTTAGGGTTTAGGGTTTAGGGTCTAGGGTCTAGGGTTTTAGGGTTTAGGGATTTAGGGTTTGGGGAAATTTTAGGGACCCTTCGACATGAAGCCCAGGACTTACAAAGAGCTGGAGGCCTAAGGACCCTCGCCCTAAACCCTAAACCCTAAACCCTAAACCCTAAACCCTAAACCCTAAACCCCAAACCCTAAACCCTAAACCCTGAACCCTGAACCCTGAACCCTGAACCCTAAACCCTGAACCCTGAACCCTGAAGCGAAGAATGGACTTCCCAAGTCTCGGAAGCGTCATCACCGCCATCTGAGTAGAGCCTCGGCCGAGGCGTGACAGAAGGCAAAGATCCCTAATTCAAAGAGTCCATGTACCTAACATATACATGTATATATATATATATATGTGTGTATATATATATATATACGTGTATATATATATGTATACATACACATATAAGAGCTGTATATATATATATACATACATACATACATACATACATACATACATACATACAGAAGCTCTAAAATGTATAGATATGTATGAGCTATAATATCTACATATGAGCGATATGTATATATATATATATATATATATATATGTAGACGTCTGCGTGAGCCTGGAAAGGGGTTCCTCAAAGGGGACTGAATCAGAGGGAGCTTAGGGGCCCTTGGCTCTCTCGCTCTCTCTCTCTCTCTCACTCTCTCTCTCTCTATATATATAACCATATATACACACATGTATGTGTATATATGTATGCATAAGCTATATATATATGCACATATATATATATATATATACATGTCCCTCCTATCTTCTTGCGAGCTCCAAGGCCTACGTCCTATGTGTGCATATCCGTGTCGCTATTTTTGCCGCAGGCCTAAAGGCAGTGTTCAGGGTTTGGGGTTTCGGGTTTAGGGACCCCATACCCTAAACCCTATAGATGTGGGTTTGGGGATATTTGTCTAGAAGCTCTGAACCCTGATATCTCGAAAAGTCCCAAAGCAGTGCAGAGCTCATGACGAGAAGGCACCTCCAGAAAAAAAAAAAAAAAAAAAAAAAAAAACTAAACCCTAAACCCTAAATCTTCAGAGCCCCCCAAGCCCTTCTTTTTTGCACAAGGCTGCCTCAAACAAAACCCCAGAAGGGCTTTTATCGCAATCCACTTAAAAACCTTGGCTTGCGGTGCGTAAGTCCTCAAAAACCCACCCAGAATGCTGACATCCCAGAACCCTATGCCTAGGGTTTAGGGTTATAGATTATAAATCCTAAGCCCTGAACCCTAAAGCCTAAACCCCAAACCCTAAACCCTAAACCCTAAAACCCTAAAACCCTAAAACCCGAAAGCCCGAAAGCCCTAAACCCTAATTAAACCCGAAGCCCTAAACCCCTAAAACCCTAAACCTGAACTAAACCCAACAGCCCTTCTGAATCTCCGTCCCAGGAGCCCTGAAATCTGGCTTCCGGCCTCTGTTGAGGTGTCCTCGGTGTTTAGGGTTTAGGGTTTGGGGTTTAGGGTTTAGGGTTTAGGGTTTAGGGTTTAGGGTTTAGGGTTTAGCTCAAACCAAGGCCGACTTCTTTTTCTTTTGTGCTAAGCAGGAACGGGGCTGGCTCTCAGCCCTTACACCCCACAAGCTGATCTCTGCAGCACACTGATATGGGTGGTTGTCAAAATCATGGTCCCGTTTTGGATCCCTATTATAATACGGCACCGAATATTTCGGGTACTCTAAAAAGGATCATCATTTTGACAACCGCCCATATAGGGGCCCACTGATATAGGGGCCTTCATAGTTAAAGTAGGTGTTTGCTCTTTTTCTTGTTTTGTTTTTTGTTGGGGGGGGGAGTAATTATGGTAAAATTACAAAGGGGCTACAAGGGAATACTGTTAAGAAGTAATTATTCCGACCCCTATATTGCCCATGAAACAAATCATGATGAGGAGGCGAAGATTTTTGCCCCGACACACCTGGGCCTAAAGCGTAAAACTCCGCTGCCCTGAAGCTCAAAATCCCCAAGCCCCGAAGCCCATGAAACCTCGGAATGGACCCCAATGAGACTACCCTAAACCCTAAACCCTAAACCCTAAACCCTAAACCCTAAACCCTAAACCCTAAACCCTCTGAACACCTAGAACCTTCGTCTCTAGCTGGTGCCTGGCACCACACTTGTTCAAGCCTTTTAGGCAACAGCCACGGCAAGGCTTGCCCACCGAAGCCCTTCACCCCTAAACCCTAAACCCTAAACCCTAAACCCTAAACCCTAAACCCTAAACCCTAAATTTCAGCCCCAAGCCCCGAGCCACCAACACTTCAACTTCATCCCTCTGAGGCACTAGCCTGGACTTGAAACACGAAACACGAGACCCCAAGCTTTGAGCCCTAAACCCCAGTACAAGAAACACTATCTGAACCCTAAACCCTGAACCCTGAACCCTAAACCCTAAACCCCAAACCCCAAACCCTAAACCCTAAACCTGATTCGGCCCATGGCGCGGTGAGGTGGGACATCCAAATTGGGAGCCAAAGGGTGGAGCCCTTGGGATCTAAGCGCTCCACGGAGACCTTGTGGGGTCTGGGGTTTAGGGTTTAGGGTTTAGGATTTAGGGTTTAGGATTTAGGGTTTAGGATTTAGGGTTTAGGGTTTGAGGTTTAGGGTTCAGGGCTTTCGGCCCAGGATTTTCGGGGTGTACGGCCTAAGGGTGCAGGGCCAAATGTAGGGTTTAGGGTCCAGGGCCTTTCAGGATGTTCGGGGTTTATGGTGCAGAGGCTTGGGTAAATGCGGGGTTTTGGCGAAGTGTTGGGCAAAAGTCCCCAAACACCTGAAACTCCGCACATGCTGTGGGCTTCAAGCGATACCTCCTAAATAAACCCTAAACCCTAGACCCCAAACCCGAAACCCTAAACCCCAAACCCTATATATTATAGATCCTACACCCAAAACCTAAAGCCCTCAACCTACTGCACAGCTGGCGGCTTGCATGCGTCGTTTAGGGTTTAGGGTTTATAGGGTCATAGGGTCATAGGGTCATAGGGTTATAGGGTTTACGGTTTAGGGTTTAGGGTTTAGGACTTGACTACCCCCAAAGTACCCTAAGCTGCGAAGTGTGTTCTGTGACGTGTACAGGCAGCGCAGCTCCGAGAACTTCAATCAAGGGTGGGAGGTTAAGCAAATAAACCCTAAACCCTAAACCCTAAACCCTAAACCCTAAACCCTGTAACTAGCCAATAAAGCTATGAGCACACCTAGACTTGGGAGTAACCTAGGAATAAAAAGGGTGCCCTTTTTGGTTTTAAGGAGGATTATGGGGGTAACCCCCAACCCTAAACAAAGGAAACAAGGGGCCTACTCCCGGTCCTAGACACAAGCGTCGTTCTTGCCAAGGTGCAGACTTCGCTATGGACTCTCGCACAGCCACCAGCGGCGTGGAGACCGAAAACTCGACATCCCGCGCATAGAGCTTCTGCGCGGCAAGGGAAGTGCTGCTTAGGGTTTAGGGTTTAGGGTTTAGGGTTTATAGGGTTTAGGGTTTAGGGTTTAGGGTTTAGGGTTTAGGGTTTAGGGTTTAGGGTTTAGGGTTTAGGGTTTAGGGTTTAGGGCCCACATACCCTACACAGCACCCAACGATCGCCAGGACAAGTGCCTATGACCCAAGCCTGCATCTCCTACAAGCGCCACCCTAACCCTAAACCCTAAACCCTAAACCCTAAACCCTAAACCCTAAACCCTAAACCCTAAACCCTAAACCCTAAACCCTAAACCCTAAACCCACCACCGCCTGCAGGTCGTGGGTACAACGCTTCAGATGCTCGTCTCCGCAGCAGCCCAGGACGTTCTCACCAGTCACCATCGCCTCCATTGGCTTTGGCATGTTAGAACTTAACAGAGGGGCCTGAATAATTGGAATAGGGTTTAGGGTTTCGGGTTTCGGGTTTAGGGTTTAGGGTTTAGGGTTTAGGGGGGGGAAACTATAGTATACTTACAGAGGGGACAATGGGGAATTTTGCTATGAAAAAATCCTTCTACTAGCTGCAGCATCCTCAAATCCACAGCCTAAGCCCCAAACATCCTGCAAGGGTTTAGGGTTTAGGGTTTAGGGTTTAGGGTTTAGGGCAAGCAATGCTGGCTTGGGACCCCCTGCACTCCCGCGACTCTCAGGCCTAAACAGCAAGCCCCGAAACCCCTGACCCCAAGAAACCCGAAACCCTAAACCCTGCAACCCAGACGCGAAAGCCTTCTACAAAGTACTGTTTGCACAGCAAGGCTAAGGAGTTTAGATCTTCTCAGGCTCAGGGTGTTCCTTTAGAGCTACCAGTATGGATGTAGGGCTGCGGTGAACTCTAAAGGCCTTTAGGGTTTAGGGTGTAGGGGTTTAAGGGATTAAGTTCAGGGTTTAGAAGCTCTCTCTCTTCCTCTTGCTTTTGCGTCAAGTTGGTTGAGTTTCTCTTGGATCTGGGATAGAGCGATGCGGATACAAGCAACTTGCGCACCAGCTCAGTCTTGAACCCTGGCCGCGAGAGCTTCAGGAAGATGGTATCCAGCGGCCCTATCGTCGTCTGGTTGAGGTAGGTGTTGGGATACCAGGGGTCTCCTTGGTAGCCCAGCAACTATATTTCAATAAGGGCACCCCTGTTTTCTTGGTTGGTTACTTTATGAGGGGAACCCAGAACAAAAAAACAGGGTAAAGGAACTGGGCTACCCTAAACCCTAAACCCTAAACCCTAAACCCTAAACCCTAAACCCTAAACCCTAAACCCCTAGAAGCCCCAAGTCTCCATGCTGCAGTTCGGATGAGGTGGGACTGGCAATCTCTAAGTGCTGATCTGCCGAGCTGATGGCCGTGATCGAATAACCTGTATCCTTAGTTGCTGAGTTTAGGGTTTAGGGTTTAGGGTTTAGGGTTTAGGGTTTACACTTTCAGTTCTATAGGGGATTATTGTATCCCAAAAAGTGTAAAGTGTGCTCACTCAGCTACTAAGTATCGAACATTTTTTGCGAGGTGTTCACCTCTGCATTGTTCACAAAGTCCTCCAGGTCCCATGCAACAAACTGTTGTGACTTCCGATCGGCAGCGCGGCACTTGACGATCGTTGCGGGCCATACAAAAGGTGCATTGATGTCATCAAGGTCGTTTCGGGAGAAGAAGTCGATGTTCAAGTCTTTCTCCAGGTGCCTCAGGATGACCTGCTTAGTAGCCCAGTAACCATAAAAGGGATTAGGGTTTAGGGTTTAGGGTTTAGGGTTAGGGTTTAGGGTTTAGGGTTTAGGGTTTAGGGTTTAGGGTTTAGGGTTTAGGGTTTAGGGCTTAGGGCTTAGGGCTTAGGGTTTAGGGTTTAGGGTTTAGGGTTTAGGGTTTAGGGACCACTGGGCTGCCAAGCCTGTAAGCCCCGCAAGTCCGTGGCCCAGAGCATAGACTGCACGTGATTGTGCTGCTCAAGTCTCTTGGCGTTCGTGGCAGCCTGACTGGCCATCGTAGCCCTAAACCCTAAACCCTAAACCCTAAACCCTAAACCCTAGTAACCCTAAACCGCAGCCTGCTTGGACATCGTGAGGCCTACGAGCTTCACTTTCTCAGAGAGTCCTTGGTTGCTCTTTAACCTCCCAATAAAAGCTTAACTTTTAGCTCCCTTACTATAGAAATTAGAGGAACCCCAAAGCTGATAAACTTGGTTGTGCTTTAAACCCTCTGAAAATTAATGAACAGGTTCCCTTCTAAGGAAAGAAGGGAAATTGCAAAGTATCCCTATAGACCCTAAACCCTAAACCCTAAACCCTAAACCCTAAACTACCCTAAAACCTAAAGTGCTAGTAAAGTCCCACCTTGAGTCGAGAGGTGAAGAATCGTGACCAGTGAATCCTGGACGCCATGGCTTCGAAGGGTAAGAAAGGGCCTGAAAGACCGCAGTTCCTTAGTTGTCCAGTATAGGGGATAGGATTAGGGGGACCCTTGGGGATATAGACCCTCTGAATAAGGTCCCTGTTTAAGAGAGCCAGAAGAGGGTTAAGAAGGGGTTCCCTTTTGGGGCCCCCTTATCCTACCTAGGACAGTAGCCTAAAAAACTAAAAGGTTAACCTTGGGGATTCTATAGGAATGATAATAACCCAAAAGGTTAAAGGTTATCTACTCTACTGCTGAGGTTCAGCAGCACGAAGTGGTCAAACTGCTTGAGGTTTTTTCGGCCAATGTGCTTGAGGCCTACTCGGTAAGCCTCGAAGTCATAGCAGTTCGGGCCACGGCGTAGCCACGTCACGTTCCTACCATGGCTTGGATGCAGCTGCTCTAGCTCTGAGATGTTGATGGAGGGGCCAACGACCAGCAACGTCGTCACATCGTCGTCGAAGGCACAAGTGCCGTACTTGAGGAAGTAGCGGAAGTTCTGCATGTACTGCGCCATTTTCGGCAGCTTGAAGTCAGCCAAGAAGGGCCCCGAGTAGATCACCAGCGTCCGCGTTTTTCGGGGAGTTCTTCGGACCGCCTCCCTTGCCCTCCGCAGCCGCTGTGCCCAGACTTGTTTCAGCTCCGAAGGCACCGCCAGGGCCTTCTGCAGCTCCGCAACTGGGGCCCAGCACTGTGGCAACGTCGGACGGATCCTTGGCAGGCTTGGTGGGCAGCTATCAGGGTTGCAGATCTTGCCGATGTACCAAGAGCTGTTCACGACCCGTTGTACACCATGTAACGCCTGCAACTCCTGCTGCGGAGTCATGGGTGCCGAGAGCAGAGCCGCCCAGGATCTCTCCATGAAATCGTTCTCATGGCCGCGATTGCCGCTGTCAGCAGAAAGGCAACTTTCAAGCCGGTCCCGAAGGCCTGCAGGCAGGCGGAGGACCTGCCCGTAGGTTGTCAGAAAGATGCCTCCGAAGCAGACCCTCAGGACCGTCTGATCACGCAATAAGGTGTCGATGCCCATCAACCGCATCCAGGCCCCCATCGTCGGAGACTCCGAGCTGGACCGCTCGGACTGGTTCGTCCCATTAAATGTCTGAAGCATCTTCTTCACGTAGTGCACGAAAGGTTGCCGGGCCAGTGCCCTCCTGTGCCCACAAGCAAACTGAGGACCGCCTGCCGCAACTTCGATCATCTCGTCGAGCGTCATTCGATCCAGCGCAGGTGAGTTGTCTGAGATGAACAGGACTAGGTCCTGTGGCTGTCGACCGGGCGGCAGACGCTTTAAGGCCGCAAGCCAGTGTGCAAAAGTGTGGTGGTAGCTAGGGCTTCGCAGAGCCATTTGGGTCGGGACCTTCTGCACATGTTCCTCGCGGCCGCCGCACCTGTTGAAGATGAAGACGTCGGAGGCGGGCCTCGTTACAAAAGAGTCCATCCACAGCAAGCTCTGGTCGCAGTGCGCCACGACCAAATCCAGGTGCCTCCACCTTTTTTCGCTGTCGCTTTCTGGTGGCTCATGCGCATCTGGCGCATCATGTGCAGGTTCGGAAACAGCGGAAACAGCGGGCGCTTTCTGAGAGGTGAAGCCCGTGAAGCCGACGAGGAAGCACACCTCGTGCCCAAGAGAAAATGCTAGAACGCCGAGGACCGCCCATTTCCACCACATGTCTCTGAATTCAGAGAACGCACGCTGCTCTCTCCACTCTCTCTGCCTGTGCTCAAAGAGCCCTACCGCAACATGAGGATTGTCACTACCTTTGTTGTTGCTTAGTCTTGCCTGCGCAAATCCTAGCTTGCCTTGTTCAGGTGATAGAAGTGGGAGCCTGCCGATATCAAGGCGAGGGGGGGTGGAGCATGGCGATCGCATCCTCGACACCAAGCCCTAAACCCAAAACCCGCAACCCTAAACCCTAAACCCTAGCTCTAAACCCTAAACCCTAGACCCTAAACCCTAAACCGCGAGAAGAGGGGGGTGTCCCCAGCTTGGGGCGACGCCACATGGCCGTCGTGGGTCTGACCTCCGGGTGGGCTTAGGGCTTAGGGTTTAGGGTTTAGGGCTTAGGGTTTAGGGTTTAGGGCTCAGGGTTTAGGGTTTAGGGCTAGGGTTTAGGGTTCAGGATTTCAAGATGTGTTGCCCTTTATTCTACTGATGGCAATGGTTGCCGGCGCATTGTCGATCTAACCCCTCGAGGCCCACGTGAACGGCATCACCGGCCAGCCACTCATGGATTTGGGTGTTGCGCGGGGACCCATCTTCTGCAAATATTATAGGGTTCAAACCCTAAACCCTAAACCCTAAACCTTAAACCCTAAACCCTAAACCCTAAACCCTGAACCCTAAACCCTAAACCCTAAGCTGCCCTAAGGTTTTTCAGGTACCTACCCTCCATGCCCCTTCCTTTAGAGGGTTCTGAAGGGAGGTTCCCTTCTACTCCCCACTACTTCTTAAGGCTCCCTAAGCTTCCCTAAGGTTCCTTAGGTACCTACTACCCTCAAAAGTGAGCACGACTTGGGATCCTAAACACTGAAAAGGGAAGAGGGGGGTACGGTACTACTTGTGTCCTAGACCCCTAAACCCCTAAACGCCTAAACCCCTACACCGTAAATCGTAAGGCCCCTACACCCTGAACACGAAACCCTAAACCCGTACATCCCTAAACACTAAACCCCTAAACGCCGAAACTAATGCACCCATACTCCCTAAACCCATTTCCTAAACACGTACACCCTAACCCCAAACCCATACACCTTAAACCCTATAACCGTGCAGCCTAAACCCTAAACCCTAAACCCTAAGCCCTAAACAATATACTCTAAAACCCTAAAGCAAAATTGGGCTCAGGCCTCAATGCTGACGGATGGATCTGCACGATGCAGAAGGCCTGGTTTCATGCGACAGTTCTTAAACCCTGAACCCTAAACCCTAAACCCTAAAACCCTAAAACCCTAAAACCCTAAAACCCTAAATCCCTAAATCCTAAACCCTAAACCCTGCCGCCTTCGAGAAGCACGCCGAAGGGGAAACCCGCGTGTTGCCGATTAGCTGCTTCTGTGAAGGAAAGCCCCAAACCCACAAGGTTTAGGGTTTAGGGTTTAGGGTTTAGGGTTTCGGGTTTAGGGTTTAGGCTTAGGTGTTAGGGCTTAGGGCTTAGGGCTTAGGGCTTAGGGCTTGGGGCTTAGGGCTTAGGGTTTAGGGAACCCCAAACCCGAAACTCTTATCTTCAACTCAAAACCCCAAACCCCAAAACCCTAGCCCTAAGCCCTAAGCCCTAACACCTAAGCCTAAACCCTCAAGCCCAACAAATTTGGAGATTTGGGTTTTTTTTGCGGGGCTTGGGGATGTTGAGGGTTTCAGGGTTAGGTGTTTTGAGCCTCGTGTCGACTCTTTTTGGGGGTTCAGGGTTTAGGGTTTATGGCTTAGGGCTTAAGGTTCAGGGTTTAGGGTTCAGGGTTTAGGGCTTCTGGGTTCATGGGTTTCGGGTTTCGCGTTTTTAGGTGCAGTGGGCTGTCGCTCCGCACAGGGTTTGGGCTTTAGGGTATATAGATTTCAGGGTTGCCTTAAACCCTAAACCCTAAACCCTAAACCCTAAACCCTGCATGAAGCCGATCTGCGAAGACCCCGCTCCAAGGCTTTGAGATCCTCCACGCGGCTCGGCTGCCTGCGTTCTTGAAGCTGGACAGGAGTAGAGGGCTTGGGGGGGGAGGGGTAGGGTTGAGGGTTTACGGTTGATGGTTTAGGGTTTAGGGTTTAGGGCTTAGGGATATAGGGGTATAGGGGTTTAGGGGTTCAGGGGTTTAGGGGTTTAGGAGTTTAGGAGTTTAGGGGTTTAGGGGTTTAGAGGTTTAGGGTTTCGGGTTAAATTCTGTGCAAGGCCATGTGCGCTGAGTGCGGTTAGCGCGAGTTGGCGCCCGCTCCGATTCTTTCAGATGTCTGTTGACCGTTGCGTGCACTACTTGTGTTTCGAGGATACATGCATTAGGGTTAGCTGGCCACATATCAGGGAAATACCTTTTCAGTGTACTTCCAGCCAGGAAGGGATTTGCACGCCTCTTTGACCCTCATCCACGAACCCTAAACCCTAAGCCCGAAACCCTGATCCTGCCCCTATACTCGGAGCAAAACACTGCATGGTGGAATGGGTCTTCTAGTCGGCTGAACCCGAAACCCCCGATGAAAGACCTCAACTCGCCACAACCCTGCGCAAAGAGCTGTGAGCATAATTACCCAACCCCAAAGCAACAAGTCTTGAACCCCAAACCCCAACGCCCTCAACCCTAAACCCTAAACCTTAAACCTTCGGGACGACATGAACCCTAAAATTGGGGTCATGTACCCTGCACTACTATACTTCCTATTGACGTATGTGAACCATAAACCCTTATGCCTTCTACATACCATGCACTACGACACTTCCTATTAGGGTTCATGAACCATAAAAAGCCTAGTATTGCTTTGGTCTCAAGGAAACCCGCAACCCTAAACCCTAAACCCTAAACCCTAAACCCTAAAAGTGCCGCCGTGCCACAGGTTGACCCTGACGATGGCGAAAGCCTTCACAGGAGGTCGAAGCATCGAACAGAGGAGGTTTAGGGTTTAGGGTTTAGGGTTTAGGGTTTAGGGTTTAGGGTTTAGGGTTTAGGGTTTAGGGCTTAGGCTTTAGGGCTTAGGCTTTAGGGTGAACCTAAAACCTAAACCCTAATTAACACTCATTTTGAGGTTTATGGAGGAGTTCCCCCCCCATCTTGGAAATAGCCATACTGCTTGTCAGCTGCCTGTGCGCTCTTGTTGCTGCTATGCGGGCCAGACGGGCTTTGCAGTGCAGAGCGCAAGGGCTTAAGCTCTGCATCAACATCACACCAACACACAACAGATTCTGGAAGTGGAAATCACAACATAGACTAATTAACCCTACACCCTATCTAAACCCTAAACCCTAATTAAACCCCACACCGGAATTAAACCCTAGCCCCTGAATAACCCTAAACTCTAAACCCTAACAAACCCTAAACCCTGAACCGTATCAGCCATCAGCCCTTAACCCTAAACCCTAAATCCGAAACCCTAAACCCAAAAGGGGCCTGGCTGCTGTACGGCGTTTCAAAGTTGGGTCCACGCTCCGCCCCGCAGAGTGTTAGGAACCTGCCGGAGCTGTGCGTGGGGTTTAGGGTTTAGGGTTTAGGGTTTAGGGATTGGGGATTGACCTAAACCTGTAGGGTTTAGATTTTGGGCTTGGGGTTGCGGCCGGGGCCTACGAATCTTGGATTTAGGGTTTCGAGTTCGGGGCTTGTGGCTTTGGGCTTAAACGAGGATGGCCCTTCAACCCTAAACCCTAAACCCTAAACCCTAAACCCTAAACCCTAAACCCTATACCCTAAACTGACAAATATTCCTGACTATGGTCCTCTTAAGCTCAAGATAGAATGTCCCAAACCTACCTAGTCTTAGCTGCTGAGTTCAGAAGCACCCAAAAAAGTGTACATTTTCAGTTCTATAGGGGACTACAGTATCCCAAAAAGTGTAAAGGGTGCTCACTCAGCTACTAAGCTAGTAAAGGTTTAGGGGTCTAACCCTAAACCCTAAACCCTAAACCCTAAACCCTAAACCCTAAACCCTAAACCCTAAACCCTAAACCCTAAACCCTAAACCCTAAACCCTAAACCCTAAACCCTAAACCCTAAACCTACCTAGTAAAGGTTTAGGTTGCGAGCTTAGGGGTCTGTGCGGGACTCGAAGTTTAGGATGTTCGGTTTCGCAGAGCGTCAATGGAGCCCCCAACCCCGAGTTTAGGGTTTAGGGTTTAGGGTTTAGAGTTTAGGGGTGTAGGGTTGAAGAATCTGTCATAAATCCGAAGCCCTTGAAGTATCTTTACGCCAAAACCACCTCCCCAAAAATGTCTCGAACCCTATAAGCGCCAAACCTAAACCCTACACCCTGCCTGACCCCCGAATCTCACCCTGCTATCAAACGCCCCTCAAGCCCTGGGCATGTGAAGAAGGGTTTATATTTCTTGTACCCCCACAGGACACCCAATATATACACTCACAAATTTTAAAAAGGAACCTTATATACACTCACCACAAACAGCAATATAAACCCTGCTTCATGTATTCATGTGAGGGTTTAGGGTCAAGGTTGGGCAAACTTGGCCAGCTGTCTACTTGATTCTAAGGGTACCTTACATTCCCTGTGCTTTTTCAGGGCCCATACATCGGAACCCTGTAAGGGAGGTAAGGTACCACATAAAGGGCCCATGCAACTACCCTTACACTTCAGGGATACTACGAGGCATTTCGGGAAGGAGCCCTTAAGAAAGCTGCGCCTTCCCAATCCCCCTAAACCCCCCTAAGCCCCGAAACCCTGCCTATAGCACCCAGAACCAAAAACCCCTAAACCCCAAAAACACAAAAGCACAACCCCTTACCACCCTGAACCCTAAAGCCCCTGAACCCTAAAACCTACAACCCAAAAGCCCAGACCCCTGAATCCCTAAAACCCAAAAAACCCTACAACCCCAAACCCGCAAATAGACCCTAAACCCGAAAGGCTAAACCCTAAACCCTAAACCCTAAACCCTAAACCCTAAACCCTAAACCCTAAACCCCAACCCTAAACCCTAAACCCTAAACCAAAAAAAAACTACAACCCCAAACCCGCAAGAGCCTCTCCACCCCCAGCTCGGCGCCATCGGGAGAGCTCACGTGGCAGGCCACGATGCCTGCAGTCTTCTGAACCCACGTTTAGGATTTAGGCTTTAGGGTTTAGGGTTTAGGGTTTGGGGTTTAGGGTTTAGGGTTTAGGGTTTGGGGTTTGGGGTTTAGGGTTTGGGGTCTGGGGTTTGGGGTTTAGGGTTTAGGGTTTGGGGTTTAGGGTATAGGGTTTAGGGTTTGGGGCTTGGGGTTTGGGGGTAGGGGTTTGGCTTTTTTGGGGTTTAGGGTAGCTGTATGTGGGATCACAAGCAGGGTAACGGTAGCCGAAAGGAGAAGTGTGGTACACATCTTTATCTATCCGAGATCCGTCAAGCAAACCCAGAACCTTACACCCCAAGCCCCGAACTCCAAACCTGTTGGGTCTAGGGTTTAGGGTAAACTGTCCGATTCTCTGAGCCTTAATGGGTGCAGTTTGGGATTTGGGGTGGCTCGGGTCTCAGGGTTTAGGGTCTGAGGCTTCGGGGTTTCGGTGGGGATTTGGGTTCAGGTTGAAAGTTAACCCTAGCTGCTAAACCCTAAACCCGGAACCCTTAACCCTAAACCCTAAACCCTAAACCCTAAACCCGTTTAGGGATTGAAGTGGAGAGATGCTCTCCGATCAAGCCGTGACGCTCCCAGCCGGTGCTTCGGTGACCTGCTTGGCAGTCCAGGTACTGGGAGGGTTTAGGGTTTAGGGTTTAGGGTTTAGGGTTTAGGGTGTAGTGTTTAGTGTTTAGTGTTTAGTGTTTAGTGTTTAGTGTTTAGTGTTTAGGGTTTAGGGTTTAGGGTTTAGGGTTTAGGGTTTAGGGTTTATCGTCGGGACACCACTCACTCCTAGCCCAAGCGAATCAAGAAACCCGGGTTTAGGGTTTAGGGTTGAACTAAGCCCAAGAGTAACCTAGAAATGAAAAGGGGCCCTCTTTGGTTTAAAGGGGATGATACGGGAAACCCTAAAAAAGGGAACAAGGACCTACTCTGGTTCCCAGTGATGGTCTCCTTTGCCTCCAGCAGATTCCGACCCATCAGCTGAAACAGCCGCTCCACATGAAGACAGCGCTCCTCTTCACGGCAGAGGCTCAGGGATATCGGGCTTGGGGTTCAGGGTTTAGGGTTAAACGGTTGGAGTAAGACCTGATTCCATTTATATTAGAGAATCTCAGACATGACAAGTAGAAAGTATGAGCAACAACCTCCGCAACCAGAAACGTCTGGCAGCAACAACAGACTGATTCCTCCACTATTTTTGCCGAGTCCCAGCTCGCCCCAATGCCCACCCACCCCCCTAGGTCCCTAAGCTCCTAGCCCTAAACCCTAAACTCCCTAAACCCTAAACCCCAAAAAACATCCCAGAACCCGCAAAAAAACCCTCCAAGAGAGTCCTGCTCGTCGGGCTTGTCTTGGCCCACGTAGACCCGGCTCTGCGGTCGCAGTGTGCCAGAGAAGACGCGGCAGATGCCGACGAAATCCTTATAAGGCTGCTGGCATGGAGGACTTTAGGGTTTAGGGTTTAGGGTTTAGGGTCTAGGGGCCTCTCTTATAATTAGAGTAGGGTTTTTTGAGTCTTTTAGGGTTTTTTAGGGTTATTTAGGCGTTTTTAGGATTTTTTTTTTTTATTTTATGGGTTTAGGGGTTTAGGGGGTTACAAAATCCTTATAAAGTTGCTGGCATGGGTACCACACTCACGCAAGGAACTTGCCTTCTGCATTTCGAGATCCACAGGCTGCGCCTAAACCTCTAAGCCCTCCAAAAGTGGCAAGGAAATAGAAGCAAGCCCTAAACCCCAAACCCCAAACCTCTAAAAAGCCTAAACCCCAAACCTCAAACCCCAAACCCTAAACCCTAAACCTTGACTCAATTTCGAAAGCCTGAACCCCAAACCTCAAACCCCAAACCCCAAACCCTAAACCCTAAACCCTCAACCCTAAACCCTGACTCAATTCAGGCCAAAGGTTCGACATCCTGGTCCCCGACCAGAGTGTCGTCGGTAAGGACCAGACGAGCCTGGTGTGGGGTTTAGGGTTTAGGGTTTAGGGTTTAGGGTTTAGGGTTTAGGGTTTAGGGTTTAGGGTTTAGGGTTTTGGGTTTAGGGTTTAGGGTGTAGGGTGTAGGGTTTAGGGTTTAGGTTTATGGTTAGGTTTTAGGGTTTAGGGTTCAGGGTAAGCCCTGAGCCCTAAAACCCTGAAGCAATCATTACCCTTCATGCCTTAAACTCTAGAACGTCAAAACCCTGCTTAGGGTTTAGGGTTTAGGATTCAGGGTTTAGGGCTAGGGTTTAGGGTTCAGGGTTTAGGGTTTAGGGTTTCGGGTTTCGGGTTTAGGGTTTAGGGTTTAGGGTTTAGGGTTTGGGGTTTGGGGTTTGGGCTTTGGGGTTTAGGGTTTAGGGTTGTTTGATCCAGGAAACCTCGGTGAATCGACCTTGACTACATGCAACTCCGAAGTAAGGCTGAGAGGCTTTCAGGGTATACTTTGAGGGTCAGGGTGGTCGAATACAACCATAATAGGGGGCCCTTGGAGATATAAACCCTCTCAATAAGGTCCCTGGAAAAGAGAGCCAGAAGAGGGTTCAGAAGGGTTCCCGTTTAAGGGTCTCCCTTATCCTACCTAGGACATAAGTGTACTTCTGACCCACTTAGAAGCCCATTGAGTACCCTGATTTGGCTAGAGTTGGGTCACAAGTACGACATATAGCTGGGTTCATTTATGTAGCAAGAGTGCCCTGGAGGTGCAAGCGGGGTTTAAAGGCCCAAATGAGGCGTAATTCAGGCCATGCTTATATTTGGGGCCTTCTCCCTAAGCCCGAAACCCGAAGTATGGGTTCTCAAGCTGCGGGTGGTGGCACACAATCACAAGACAATCCCTTGACTCTCAACCCCTATGACCTAAACCCTAACCACCTTTATGCAACCCTATAACTGATCCCTGAACCCTAAACCCTAAACCCTAAACCCTAAACCCTAAACCCTAAACCCTACGTCGCTCCGCAAGCAAGAGGCGAGGTCTGCCGACAGGAACTTGGCCAGGTAGGCCACGGGCGTGGCCTCCGCATCACACCTGGGACTAGAATTTGCAAACCCTAAACCCGAAACCCGAAACCCGAAACCCTAAACCCTAAACCCTAAACGGCAATAATCCCTATATTACCTTTGACAAGGATGAGCATATCTTTCATTTTTTAAAATAATAATCCCTATATTACCCTTAATAGGGAAGAATACCTTTATTTTTCGGGGTTCTTAAGCAACTAGTAGGGGAGGAAGGCCCTGGAGGCGCTTTTGACTGTTTGCCTAAGAAGCCCCAAAAGAAAGGGGGTACTTCAGCGGCTTATAAGTGGGTTATGAGTACTACTAGTTACTTAAGAACCCCAAAGTAAAAAGAATCCCTTATTACCCTTAATAAGGAAGAATGTTTTTGGTACTTTTTCGGGGTTCTTAAGCAACTAGTAGAGGAGGAAGGCCCTGCATCGCTTTTCGCTTGGCTTTGGGATGGCCATTTTTAGAAATGCAGGGCCTCGAGCACGGAGACAGCTGTTGAGGAGCATTTCTTAGATTAGGGTTTAGGGCTTATGGTTTAGGGTGTATGGTTTTAGGGTTTAGGCTTTAGAGTTTATGGATTTATGGATTTATGGGTTTAGGGTTTAGGGATGTTTAGCCTTCAAGGACTGTGGTTGCAGGGCTCGTGCTGTGCAAACGAACGAGACTACTCCAAAATGACCTTGAGGAATAATGCTTCGTGTGTGCCTGTGCGTGCTGCGGGCTAAGCCTATGGTTGTGGGTGTAAAGCTTCAAGGACTTGGGGTTTAGGGATGTGGTTGACCCTAAACCCTGAACCCTGAACCCTAAACCCTAAACCCCAAACCCATAACCCCTCCCACACCTTTTGCTTCTTGAGGGGGAGCTTAGCCGCCAAGGCACTTGTGAAGGCCCTCCGCGATGGCATTGGGCAGGGGCTTCGGTGCAAACCACTTGGGGCACAACACGGGCCTCGGCTCATGGGATCGTCTGCCCAACCGCTGGGTTTAGGGTTTAGGGTTTAGGGTGTAGGGTTTAGGGTTTAGGGTTTAGGGTTTAGTGTTTAGTGCTTTGGGTTTAGGGTCCAGGTTTAGGGTTTAGCGCTGTTGGTATATATATATATATACTTCAACTTGAAATAACTCATGGGACTTCCCAAGCTGTCCTACAACTATCGCTGTCCTGCTTGCTATCCATGCTCTCTTCCTTTAAGAGACTGAACCTGTTCCCAGCCTCTGCAAACATCTGAGGTATGCTTGCCTGTGAGTGCGGAGGCGGAGGCATCTTGTCCTGGAAGTCCACGTCCATGATCATGCCGGGTTTAGGGTCGGTTTAGGGTTTAGGGTTTAGGGTTTAGGGTTTAGGGTCGCTGGAAGTGTGTAATTACATGCTGCGCACATCCCACATCTGGACAGCGCCGGCAAGGGTGCTTCCATGGAAGTCGGCAGATGCTCCATGACATGCCATAGAGGCGGCAGCGCCCCTTGGACATCCTGCTCACCACGCTCAGGCCGCACCGGCTGCACCCAGTCCGCCGAGATCAGCCCAGGGTGAGGCACCGCAGGGTCATTCGGCACTCGCGGTTTAGGGTGTAGGGTGGTTTAAGATTTAGGGTTTAGGGTTAGGGTGATTGTAATTCTTTATGTGGTCTGGCTGGCCTAGGTCGGCTTCTAACCCCAATCACATTCCGAAGTCCCAGGAACCTCGAAACAAAACTGCCAAAACCCTACACCCTAAGCCCTAAACCCTAAGCCTAACACTACCTTTGCCAGGTTTCAAAACAAACTCACCATCCCCCATCATCACTGCTTGGGTCGTTGCGTGTGGAGGGTTTTCAATACTAGGATGGCCCAGAAAACCCTCTGAAAAGCATTCCCAAATATCGTCTTCTTGAACCCCAAAACGGAAAACATACAATGACATGAACAACATCTGGGCGTTTCCGAAAATTAGGGGTGTGTTCTTTGGGGGGGGAGGGGGGTTTCTGAAAGGGGATTCTATTCCATGTGGGATAGAGAAGGGGTACCCTATTTTGGGAAATCTCAAGGGCCTCTATACCACAGGGCTTTCGGGGTCTAAATCGGGCCTTTTGGGGTGCGCTTCAAGGACCTCCTTACGCCCAGCGACTTACTTACTGTTGGATAGTAGGGAATGGGAGAATGAGGGACCCTATATAATCCCTGGTTTAGGGTTTAGGGTTTAGGGTTTAGGGTTTAGGGTTTAGGGTTTAGGGGTTTAGGGTTTAGGGTTTAGGGTTTAGGGGTTTAGGGTTTAGGGTTTAGGGTTTAGGGTATTTCTATGGCCCTAGATCCCTCTCTGGGCTTTCAAGGGTTTATTAGGGTTTAGGGTTTAGGGTTTAGGGTTTAGGGTTTAGGGTTTAGGGTTTAGGGTTTAGGGTTATGGTTTTGAGGGCTCAGGGCTTTTTCGGGTTTAGGCTGTAGCCTTTAAGGGCTTCAGGGGCTTTAGTGCTTCAAGGTTTTGAGGGCTTCAGGGTTAGAGAAAATAAGCTTAAGGGTTTTGAGGTCTTTCAAGGGTTTTAGGGTTTGAGGGTCTGGAAGAATGTAAAAAACCTGAGCCCTAAACCTAAACCCAAACCCTAAACCCTAAGCCTTAACTAACCCTAAACCCTAAACCCTAAACCCTAAACAATAAACCCTAAACCCTAAACCCTAAACCCTAAACCCCAAACTCTAAACCCTAAGCCCTAAACCCTCAAGGGTTTTCACGGTTTTGGGGGGTTCTTCTGAACTGCGCCAGCGGGGCAAACGATGCGGCGCCGCATCGACCGGACTGGGGAGGTGGCTTGTTGCCTGGACTTTACGGGGCACAAAGGGTTTAGGGTTTAGGGTTTAGGGCTAGGGTTTAGGGCCAGGGTTCAGGGTTTAATTAGGGCTTAGGGTTTAGGGTTTAGGGTTTAGGGGTTAGGGTTTAGGGTTTAGGGGTTAGGGTTTAGGGCCAGGGTTTAGGGTTTAGGGTTTAGGGTTAAGGGTTTAATTAGGGCTTAGGGTTTAGGGTTTAGGGGTTAGGGTTTAGGGGTTTAGGGTTTAGGGTTGAAAGGTTAGCGTTTAGGGTGTAGGAACACTTTTGAACCCCCTAATGGCCTACACTCTGCTAAACCCTGGACCCTACATTCCCCAGACCCTAGACTTCCTAAACCCAGAACCCTAAACCCCTAGCCCTAGACCCTAGATTTCCTAAACTCTAAACCCCTAAATCCCTAAATTCCTGGAGCCCAAAACCCAAAACCCTTCCACTCTTCAGGCTATACCCCTACACGCGAAAACCCTCAACCGAAGGCGACGGAGCGGATCGGGTTTTCAGATAATTGACTTCGGGTTCGAGGTACGGGTTCAGGGGTGTATATAGGGCAAAAGTTAAAGGTGCTTAGTAGAGGTACCTCATCCCACTGGGATTTTAACAGTTAGGGTGCCAGATGTAAGGTTCAACGGCATGACCTAAAGCACAGCCACACACAGACTCTAAGAATAGTTCAACATATTCCAAACCCATTCCCCATTAACCTCTAAGAGGAGAACATAAGGAAGGATTTTGCCAAACCCCTTAATTTCTTAAGGGGTATGCTCAAGGGGTATGTTGAACATTTCCTAGACATACACAAAGCGACCATCAGGGACGCTGAGGAGAAGCAGAGTTTCAAGTCAGGTCGGCGGTCGAACTTGACAAGATACTGGGAGTGATGCCCTAGACCCTAAACCCTAAGCCCTAATTAAACCCTAAATCCTAAACATCTTAGCAGTCTGCTTGAGGCTCATGCTCCATGACTTGAAAAGGGGTTTCGAGGCTTAGGGGGTTTTCGTCAGCTTTGCCCTAGTTCATGGTTGGGATAGTACTCAGAATTTGAGTTTCAATAACCTACAGGTACCCTTAAACATGTAAAATGCTACCTTACTGTTACAAAGTTCAGGGTGTTCTACTGACCGAGGTGTTTTCCGGGGCTCACGGAGATTCGAGCCAGGCTGCCATCTCCAGAATGCACTCCCCAAAGGGCAGCCATCGAGAGCTGAGCTCTCGCGTCGCCGTGGCGCCAGCCTGCACTGCCCAGCTACACCCAAACCTGGGGTTTAGGGTTTAGGGGATTGGGACCCTCTTCAACAGTTTGATGGGTTATACCTACTGATTAAGGGTAGTCAGTTCTAAACTGTGGGTAAATAGAGTCCCAGGAAGACTCCGACTCCCCCTCGCCTCCCATTATTTGGGCACTCTGCTAAATAGAGGGTCTCCCGGAGACGTGTGTCGTTCAGGTGTTGAGTTCGCCGAAGGGTTCGGGGCTTAGGGTTTAATACTCTAAACCCTAAACCCTAAACCCTGAATCCTGAACCCTAAACCCTAAATTAAAGAGTTTAGTTTAGGGTTTAGGTCTCAGGGTTTTAGGGTGCAGAGGTTAGGGCTTGTGTATTCTCAGCTACCAGGCCCGAGCTGAGACGGTGCCCAAGAACTGCCCCTTGGATACCTATTCTAATGCGGGATTAGGGTTTAGGGTTTAGGGTTTAGGGATACAGAACCTTGCATCTAGGCCGATGCGTACACTCCGAAAGGGACCGTAATGAGCCTTGTCCTTCATACACACTTTGCCTCGATGCCACTCATTCTAACCCTACTTGGAGGTTCAGGGTACTTAATGACCCGATCATAACTGTACTGATAACCCACTGATGAGCCCTTTAAGTGCCCTAATATGGTTATTAGTGGGTTATAAGTACAGCTATAATTGGGTTATTTGTTAAGTGCCCTGAACCTCCAAGTACGCCAAAACCCTAAACCCTGAACCCTAAACCCTAAACCCAAACCCTAAACCCTAAACCCTAAACCCTAAACCCTAAACCCTAAACCCTAAACCCTAAACCCTAAACCCTAAACCCTAAACCCTGAACCCCCTAAACCCTGAACCCCCTAAACCCTGAACCCCCTAAACCCTGAACCCCCTAAACCCTAAACCCTAAACCCTAAACCCTAAACCCTAAACCCTGAACCCTAAACCCACTTATAACCCCAAGATGTCCCTAATCCTCTGAGCCCTGACCGGCTTCGGCACATGCTTCCGAGCGGCGGAGAGCTTCTGCAGGTCCACGTCCTTCCACCCAGGGATCCTTGAAGACTTTAGGGTTTAGGGTTTAGGGTTTAGGGTTTAGGGACAGGGAGTGGGCAAGATAGGGAGAGACGCCGGCAGGTGCCCGGCAAAGTGCTCTGAGGCCGTGTGGCCGAGCAAGCTGAGGGACGGCCCTGCACTTAATATTCGCAAGTTCCAATAAAACATGAATATGAAAATAGTAACATGTTAATACTATGAATATGAAAGCTTACTGGCTTGCTACAAAGTGTCTGCCGCTGCATCTTGCCCAGCAGATCCGCGTCCAGATACTTGTACGCCGCCTCGCGCAGCCATGGTTCTAGGGTCTGTGGCTGTGGAGCTTGGGTTTAGGGTTTAGGGTTTAGGGTTTAGAGTTTAGGGTTTAGGGTTTAGGGTTTGCAGAAATGTCTTGGGCGCAACCTCGGCTCGGGAATGTTCGTTTAGGGTTTGTCTTAGTTCGCGGACGCCCCGACGAGCTATTTGGGATTCGGTGCTTAGGATGCACTTCAGCAATGAGAATGACCTCTACGCGTTTAGGGGTTCCACACTGAACCATGCGCCACCTCATGAGTTCTAAGATCCCTTACAGCATGTGAGCACCCTGTGTGTGTGTGTGCGCGCTGGAGTTGTCCCTGCCTGAAGATGGGAAAGCCCTAAACCCTAAACCCTAAACCCTAAACCCTAAACCCTAAACCCCTAAAATCAAAGGCTGAACGCCGAACCCTGGCCTCATAGAGGTTGCAGATAGGCTGCCTCAGAGACATCTGGGATTCGGGCTTTCGTCCGGAAACCCTCAACCCTCAACCCTAAACCCTAAACCCTAACCCTAAACCCTAAACCCTATAAACAACGAGACTCAAGCCCTGTTTTTTAGGTTGGGATGTTCCCCCTTATACTAACAGTCCTTCATAGGGACTATAATTGGGGGTACTATAATCCCTATTAAGGACCTAAACCCTAAACCCCTAAACCCTAAAACCGAAACCCTGAGTATAAGGGGGAACATCCCCAAGGGGGAACATCCCCAAAGGGGGAACATCCCAAGTTTTTGTCATCAGAGCTACGTGGGGACAACGGCCATCCTCATTGCTCCCGTTTCGGTGTCGGGTTGGCCGCGAGCCTGCCTTGGGTCTAGGGTTTACGGTTAGGGTTTCAGGGTTGGGTTTAGATCTGAGTCAACTGCAACGCCCCCAAACCCCCAATATTCCAAAGGGCCATGAACCCCACGGTAAGTTACTTCATTCCCAGTCGGGTTCTGGAAACATCCCGAAACCCTAAACCCTAAACCCTAAACCCTAGACCCAAAAAGAAAGGCAGAGTGACATGATGAACTCCGCAAACATCGTCTTGGACTCCGTGTCCTGGGTGTTCGAAGCAAATGCATGGCGAGTGACTCTTTCGGAGCTGAGAAGTGTCGGGTTAGTTGGGGCTTGGGGCTTGGGGCTTGCGGTTGAGGGTTTCGAGGGTTTTGGGGAATGGGGTCGAAGGGAACAGGGTTGAGGGGTTTAGGGTTTGATGCTTTGGGGGGGGGGGGGGGGGGGGGGGGGGGTGGGGTATACGGCTTAGGGTAGAAGCAGCAAAAAAATACCAGTCATAACCATGGCTCACCCGACAGCCGAAGCGGAGTACAACCCTAATGAATCTCATGTTGTGTTGCTTCGAGTCCATACGACGAGACAGAACCAACAACTGCAGCCGAAACGTTTCATGTCGCGCCCGAAGGACACCAACACCCGGTAATGAGAATGGCATTCTATAGGTATGAACGCCGCATGCAGTGACCAGTTAAAGCTAAATCAAAATGCCATGATTGGTACAGAAGCAAATGATGGCAGCGAACCCCAAACCCCGATTGCACTCCGTTTTTGAGGCTGCCAAGCCCTTGTCCTACCTTTGACCCTGGAGCTTGAGATCATTTCTACAAATTGCTTAAGAACTCCCCCGCCACCCCCCTCCCCCCCGCCCCCCTCGGTGGGGTTTCTTAAGCCAGGAGGCATTAGCAAACCCCAAGTTTTTCCACCACCAACCCGCACGACTGCTACCCCTCACCCAAAACACAGAACCCTAAACCCCAAACCCCTGAACCCTAAAAACCCTAAACCCTAAACACCCCAAACCCTAAAAACCCTAGACCCTAAAAACCCTAAACCCGAAACCTGAGCCCTATAAAAACCCTAAACCCTAAACACCCCAAACCCTAAAAACCCTAACCCTAAACACCCCAAACCCTAAAAACCCTACACCCTAAAAACCCTAAACCCGAAACCCTAAGCCCTGAAAACCCTAAACCCTAAACACCCCAAACCCTAAAACCCTAACCATAAAACCCCTAAAAACTCTACTAAACCCTAAAAAACCCTAAACCCGAAACCCTAAGCCCTAAAAACCCCAAACCCCAAAAACCCTAGACCCTAAAAACCCGAAACCCTAAACCCTAAACCCCAAAAACCCTAGACCCTAAAAACCCGAAACCCTAAACCCTAAACCCCAAAAACCCTATACCCTAAACCCTAAACCCTCAAAACCCCTACATCCTCGAAGCGTCCTCTGAGGTCCGCTTTTGAGCGCGCTTGGTCTTCTTGTTGAAGGTCCAGTCGCCTTTAAACTCGACTTGAAGCCCTAAACCCGTATGTAGGTTTAGGGTTTAGGGTTTAGGGTTTAGGGTTTAGGGTTTAGGGTTTAGGGTTTAGGGTTTAGGGTTTAGGGTTTAGGGTTTAGGGTTTAGGGTTTAGGGTTTAGGGTTTAGGGTTTAGGGTTTAGGGTTTAGGGTTTAGGGTTTTTAGGGTTTAGGGTTTTTAGGGTTTAGGGTTTCGGGTTTAGGGTTTAGGGTTTCGGGTAGACGTTTAGCCGTTCTGGAACCCCATGAACATATGAACTTGTAGGTTGGCTCGACCTCAGGTTCGCCGTGTCAGAGGAACCGTTGCTCGGGAGTTTGTTGTTTTGTTTGGGGCTGGCTTAAATTCTGAACCCGAAGCCCTAAGCCCTAAAGCGCAGTGTGTATACCTGGGGGGGTCCTGGCGCGACAGCGACAGTACCCGCAATACAGGAAAAGGTGGAATGCTCAGAATTTCAGCCATGACAGGACAGAAAGAGCCAATCCATTCGTGGCAAGAACCTGGTGCTCCACTGGGTTTAGGGCTTAGGGTTTAGGGTTTAGGGTCCCATGGCCTCCCGAAGAAGGGTCGGAATACTCTCCACGAATAAGTTCCTTTGCATCAGAGGAAGTTTACACCCTAAACCCTCAACCCTAAAGCCAAGACCAAAAAGGGCAACTCAGTTGTCCGAGGCGCCCCAAAGAACCTTTTGAAGATTCTCCTTCTTGGCACCCAGCTTCTTGGCGATCAAGGGTGCGAAGCTGTCTATTCCTTGGTTGCAGCGTAGGGTCTCGGGCTTACGGCTCAGGGCTTATAAGGGCTTCGGGAGAAACCCTAGACCCTAAGCCCTAAAACTCCCTTCCCCCTCCCTGCACCCCTCCCAAACACAAATGCAACCATAAACCCTAAACCCTAAACCCTAAACCCTAAACCCTAACCCTAAACCCTAAACCCTAAACCCTAAACCCTAAACCCTAAACCCTAAACCCTAAAACCCTAAACCCTAAACCCTAAACCAAAAAGAAGACAGCTCAAGAAGTCGGGGCACGGAAGGCCCAGCCATGCACTGCTGAGCCAAAGGCCACGTTCCCCAACTCAGGGGAGTAGCGCCAGAGCTCCTGCTTTCTGAGTCTGGGGTTTAGGGTTTAGGGTTTAGGGTTTAGGGTTTAGGGTTTAGGGTTTAGGGTTTAGGGTTTAGGATTTAGTGTTTAGGGTTTAGTATTTAGGGTTTAGGGCTATGCTGGGGTTTGCGTGGTGCCTCGCAGGCTAGAACAGAAACTCCCCAAGCCCTAAACCCTAGGGGACTTCAGCTATTTTTAGTTGGGCGGATTGTGGGGCTACAGGGTTCTGGATTTCGGCTCCTTCCCTTAACCCTGAACTCACAAAGCACTTTCCAGAACCCTCTGGATTTAAACACTCGGATATTTCGGCTTTAGGCACCACCCCAAAATAGAAGTAGAGTTTAGCTTTTAGGGTTTAGGGATAAGCCCAAACCCAGAAACCCTGGAACCGAAAACATTTCTCATGCTCCCTAAGGAACTCTCAATGGGGCTTTCATTTTGGGCTTAGGGTTTAGGAGTCTTGGGGTTTGAGGGTTTAAGGTTTTAGAGTGTTTGTTTAGAGTTGATTTGGTGCTTAGGGTTTAGGATTTCTATAGGGCTATAACCCTAAAAACTAAACCCTGGACCCTAAACCCTACACTCTAAACCCTAAACCCTAAACCCTAAACCCTAAACCCTAAACCCTAAACCCTAAACCCTAAACCCTAAACCCTAACCCTAAACCCTAAACCCTAAACCCTATGAGGTCTGAGGGATGAAGGGCTTAAGGGTGTTGGGCTTCGGGATCTCTGGTCATCTGCGACTCGACGCCCTGAACCGCACGAGCCCCAACCCCAAAACAGGGCTTAGGGTTTAGGGTTTAGGGTTTAGGGTTTAGGGTTTAGGGTTTAGGGTTTAGGGTTTAGGGTTTAGGGTTTAGGGTTTAGGGTTTAGGGTTTAGGGTGCGAGGAAATCATCGAAAGCCGCGGGATACAAGGCGTAGGGAAAGCATCTTTAGGAAAGCCGTGCCATGAACAGCAAACCCCCAGCCAGTAGATGCTGAGCCCTAAGCCCTAAGCCGTGAGCCATGAGCCCTACCCCCCTAAATCCTAGACCCAAAAGCACTAAAACTCTAAAGCCCGAAGCCAAAACCCCTAAAACCACTAACCAAAAAACACACACTAAGCCCGGAAACCCGGTAACCTGAACTCCCACATCCCTGAACCCCAAAACCCTAAGTAACCTTAACTCCCAAATCCGTGAACCCTAAACCCTAAGTAACCTTAACTCCCACATCCCTGAACCCTAAACCCTAAACCCTAAACCCTAAACCCTAAATCAATGTGCCTCATCTCCAAAATCCAGCGCCGCAGAAAGATCCAGGGAATCCATGTTCACATCCTGGGCTTTGGGGCTTCGGAGCCTAGGGCCCTAAACCCTAAACCCTAAACCCTAAACCCTAAACCCTAAACCCTAAACCCTAAACCCTAAAGCCTATGGGTTTAGGTCTTTAAGGGGTTTGGCGTAGCCCCAAGAGTCGAGTGGTCTTTAGCGGGCATCGTAAGGGCCCAGGCACTTGCATTCCGATTGCCCTCATACGAGAAAGGGTTTAACAAAGTATAGGCTGCCCATAAAGGTGCCAACCCCCAGCCCACCCCCTCCAAAAAGAAAGAGAAAGAGAGAGAGAGAGAGAGAGAGAGAGAGAGAGAGAGCGAGAGAGAGAGAGAGCGAGAGAGAGAGAGAGAGAGAGAGAGCGAGAGAGAGAGAAAAAAAAAGGGGGAGAGAGAGAGAGAGCGAGCGCCAGAGAGACAGATACATGCGCTCCAGGTGTAAAGCCGCCCCGCCCCCCTCCCAGCCCGACCTCATTGAAGGATCTAAGTTGGGATGTTCCCCCTTATACCAACAGTCCTTCATGGGGATTATAGTAGGGTATCTAAGGTCAGTCCTCGACCCTGACGGTGGCATTTTCGGCCACCTATTGAGAGAAGGGGTTTCGGGCTCGACTTTATTGCTCCTGTAATTCAAGACAGCAAATGCAAGTGCCCAAACCTTGAACCCCCAAAAGAAAGTCCACAAACTCTAAACGCAGCATCTCTTGATACCGAACCCCCCCCCCAAAAAAAAAAAAAAAAAACAAACTACTACCTCCAAACCGAACACCTGCAAGTCTGAGACCGGCAGTGCCCATCCCTAAACCAATCCATCCAAAACCCTGAGAAGCTGCCCTAAGCCCTGGACCCTAAACCCTAAACTCTAAACCCTAAACCCCTACACCCCTAACCCCCTAAACCCCTAAACCCCTAAACCCCTAAACCCCTAAACCCCTAAACCCCTAAACCCCTAAACCCCTAAACCCCTAAACCCCAAACCCTAACCCTAAACCCAAGACACGGAGGCGCTGGGCTTGCGGGCCGCCCCCCTGGCCATGACCTGTGGGAAGCTGCTGGGGGTCCTGGGGGGGTCCCTTGAGTCTTAGGGCGTGCAAGGGGAGTAAGGTTTAGGGTTCAGGGTTTTTAGGGTTTAGGGTTGTAGGATTTAGGGTTTATAGGGCTTAGGGCTCAGGGCTTAGGGTTCAACGTGAGTCGCTATTGCACGAAGCTCTCGCAAAACGCACCCGGGAGTCGCAAAACCCATGGACCATCAGGTGCTCCCAATCACTTGGCTGCACTTATCAGGGTAGCTATGAATTTAATTTTTAGCTGCCTTATGAAGAAACGCAATAAGCCCAAAAAGGCTAAGGATCTACAGTTACAGTAAAGCACCACAGAGATCAGTGGGGGGGCGGAGGCACCTGAATCCAATCTGGCAGCTCGCGACGGTCCAAGAGTTTAGGGTTTAGGGTTCAGGGTTTAGGGTTTAAGGGTTTAAGGGTTTAGGGTTTAGGGTTTAAGGGTTTAGGGTTTAGGGTTTAAGGGTTTAAGGGTTTAGGGCTTAGGGTTTAGGGTTTAGGATACGTCCAGTCCTCCG